CAAAAAAAAAAAACCTGTTCAATTGCTTATGCAATTCCATCTTTATTGTCATAATACAGGTCTCCCTCCAATTAAAGACCACTTTGGGACTGGGATTTCCATGGTCTTTAGCAGCTTTGGTCTCTAATTAGAATAATAAACATAAAGGCATTTGTTAATATGGGACTACAGAACAATGGTCTTTAATTGGAGGTGGTCCTTAATTGGAGGGGCCTCTAATTAGAGGGAGACCAGTATACGGTTTGAAATTCCAGGTTGTTTTTTTACAGATTAAAATAAAAAAATATACTTACTGATACAATCACACACTAAAACACACAACACATACATCACATCATAAAATGTGTAAAATATAAAGTTAAAGGTCAAAATCAAAAAGTTGGTAGTAATAGAGGTACCGACAATTTCAAGCAAAAAGGCATAAAAGCAGTATGTGTACAAAATGAAAATAAAATGTATAGATGTATAATATGCTATCAACTTTCGTAAGATCAAAAAAAAAATGTTGGAAGTGGTATAAAGACATACATGGTAGTGACGTGGGATCCAACAGCATTGTAATCGATCTCCTCGTCTGGGGCCGATGTTCGGCTGATGACGCCTGCTGTCGCTGCAGACATGGCGCTCAGTTGGGACTGGATGTTCTGCTTCTGAACATCAATCTGATTCTGTCTCCACTGTTGAGATACCTGGTGAAGATCATTGAAATTTATGAAGAATTACAGCAAGAAGTAAAATATATAAAAAAAAAAAAAAAATAGTAGGCGAGTCAAATGGACGAGTGGATAAGGTAGGGGCGCTGTAACGTACAGACATAACAGCGGCACCGGGTTGAACGGCACGCTTGCCTATGGTTCTGGTGGTGGAACAAGTCTTCTCAGATTAAGGACTATAAACCGTAGGCCCAGTGTACACAATTTGAAACTTTAAGGAACCCATGGGTACATCTTTCGAGAAAAGTAGAGGGTTACCCCGGTGAACTGATCCATACACCCCTGTTGAGGACAGTTGAGAATAGCTAGTACTGGTTTACTGGGTAGCTCAGGCATAAAAAGACCCTTAGGAGAGAAACAAGTTACTGTAGGAGCTAGTCCACATTTCGAGTGCAATGTGACAGTTTCAGTATAAAAAGTGCTAAATAAATCTACATTACATTACATGATATTTCAGAGTTTTCATTAAAACTGATCACAGCTGTTGCTGTTAGTAAATGAACGAAATAAATAATAATCTGCTAACAGAACAGTACTTACGGGATCCTGGCCAACGACCTGTATCTCAGTTTCTTGTGCCAGAGAGTCTTTAGCTGAGGTAAAGTCTGTCATGCTTCGCTGGATTGTTCCTTTCAATGCCTGTTGAGCTGTTGTAAGACCAGGCTGCTTGGCTGCATTCATCTGTACTCAGATAAATCAAGAATAACCATTGTTTTCATATTATATGTTTCTATATTTTATGAGAGCTTTTCCTTATCAACTTGCTGTTAGAGTCATCTTCTTAAACTAGTTTTAGATAATAATAATAATAATACGTAATAAATAATATGACTGATACTGATACTAATAATTTCAATTTCAATTTCAATTTATTCAAGATTGCCTTGAGTAAAAAAAAGCAAAACAAAACTTCAAGACACATCAAAATATATAAAATCATGTGCTTTGGAATGAGTAAC